CAGCATCTGTGACCGGCATCTTCAGAGAGCAGGAGCACAGACAGGAGCAGTTCTCTCAGGCTGGGCACAAAACTTCCAGAACATGGCCACACAGCCCGGAAGACCCACAACAGCCATCGTATTCCGGCCGTGAAAGCCTTCGACAATACCTTGCTTGAGATCTTACTGAAATCATGCAGGATTTAGTGAACTTGTAAGATTCTGGGCGATTTTCTGGGAATGAGATGACGTGTTGATGCTTATGGTCCAAGCATGTTAGAAAGCTATGAAATATGGAAAAATCCTTTCTCCATATTTCTTTTTCAAAACCTTGTATCTCTAGTTTATACTGAATTTTATTCTTGTTGCAAGCAATATCCCTTTCTCGCAATACAGTATGTTGCAGAACTGTCTCAAAAATAACAAGGTTTAAGGATGTTCATGAAATTATCCTGTGATATTAGACAGTGTCCTGCAAATGTAAATGAAAATAATTATTTTGCAATGCAGACATTACTTGTATATATTTGTGTCCCTCAATGGATCTTATCTGTCTCTTGTAACTGAGCATGGAGAGGCATGTCCTAGATTTTCAGTAACTTCTTGTGAGAATTGCTTCTTTTTATTTCTGCAAGGCATAACTTGCAATAGTTTGCTAAGCAGTGCATAAGTATCTTCAAGTTAATTGTGAGGAAGCCACAAATGTAGCTTCAAAACATAGCATTGTATGTATGGATGCAAAGAATAAACCTTGTTTATCGGGAGATTTCCTTTAAATACCATATTTTAAGTGGACAGGTGTGACCCAAATAGCATTTGGTTCATGGCCTGAAACAAATCAACCACTTTTGTTTGTTTTTAAGTTAATGTTCATGCCTATTACTTTCAAGGAAGAGTGGAAAAAATAAGGTTGAGAAATGTTTCACCAGGGACACACTAAGTCTAAGATGGATTATCATTTTGGAGAACTGTTTTCCATATCTCTGATGGTCTTGCATATTTAAAAAGCTGCATTGGCACAGTTCTCTGGCATTTCCTTACCTGAAGCTCCAGTAAAACAAATAAGTTTGGAAAAGAATCCAGTCTTGTTGTTCTCATTTGTTTCAATTAGACTTCAAAAAGTTTCCTGACCATTCAAGCTGATGCAGTACAGCTATAGTATTTCTCTTGCTCCCATAATATGCATATTGTGTAGGAATAATTCTTTGGAGGTCAAGCAGTTAGTGATTAAGAGAAGGCTTTTTTGGAACTGGTACTCAAGGAGGCTTCCCAGCATCTCCTTTTCAACTTTTCTTTTAATTATACTGGATAACTGTTTTTGTTCTGCCTCTGTTTTTCTTGTATAATGATTTAACTTTAGATGGTTTTCAAAGCAGCCTTCCCCAACTGGGTACCCTCCAGAAGGATGCGACTTTGACTTCTGCCACTTGTTGCCATCATCTTTTGCTGGTGCCAGCTGAGAATTATGGGAGTTGAACTCCAACACAACCAGAAAGTGTCCTGTTTGGAAAGACTGTTTTAAAGGCTTCTATTGCAATCTTGCACGTGCCTACTAAACTCTGTGGTCAGTGGGGATTACTCTGAGATAACTGGTTTCTTCCCCATTTTATTTTGATTAATTGCATTATACAAGACAGTCCATTTTCAAATAAATATATGAAAAATAAAAATGAACATTCATTTTTGTTTTACCCCCAGATAACTGTATATTGAACTGCTACCGATGTGACAGTTAAGCCCAACTTTCTTCTGCAAACAAGCCAAGTTTTAAATCCATTACAACAGGGATTTTCAGGCTGTGGAACCTGTTAGTTAAAAAAAAAAAAAATCCCTGATCAAGAGGCAAAGCTCTAATGATAGAAAATTGGGAATAAAACTAAACTGTGTTCACTGTAATTTATTTATGCAAATTTATGAACAGAAATTGTTTAAATTTCACAAATATAGATGCGCCAATTACTGTCCCAGAAAGTTCCTCCGATTATTCTAAGTATTAAAAAAACCCCTGTTTATTGTAAATGCAAAACTAAAGATTCCAGCATACAAAAGTTAAAACTAGAATTTCACAATTCTGTTGGTGGTTGATGTTTCAACCAAACAAATCAAAGTTCAATGACTGGGATATGATTGCTTGAGAAAAATTGTATGGATGCCCCTGGTTGCATTTGAGTGAGCAATTTTGGCTTTGCCTTTAGCCTTTCACAGAATCTCATCAAGTTCTTGTGGAGCCTTAAGGCTCCATGGAGCACAGTTTCTGAACCCTCTACTATGACTTAAAATAACTTATCCTCATTTGGTTTTCCTGTTCTTCCAGGCCGGAAACCACTTTTCTCCATACTTTTCTCCGTAAAATATTACTAGTAAATTGACCCAAAGGATGTCATGACTGCCATTCAGTGTCAGAAATGAAAGCCGTCTGGTATAAGCAAAGCCGTCCCTACCATTAGCAAGGTGAGGAGTCCCTAACTATATACTACTAAGACTTTCGTGTCTGTAACCGTCAATTGGGTGAAACAGTGCATCATAGGGCAACAGTTTTTGAACCAAGGTACCTCAAATGGGCTAACTTACAGAATGCATCCAAAATCTGGGACCCATTACTCCCATGGGATTGAATTTTGCAGAATTTGTGGCTGCTTCAGCACTGCTGTCCTGCTGCACCGCCATGGTCAGCCCAGGTCACGTGATCATCATGGGCATATCCCCAGTCTCTTTCCCACCTCCCTCTGTCCCCTGTGCCCAATTGGCTGGCAGCAAGGCTCAACAGGTGAGTGGCGATTGGCTGCTTTGGAAATGAGGGAGAAATTTGAAACCTCTTAACAGCTGTGGGTGTTGAGGAAAGGATGAGGGAGCAACTTGGATGCCTGTTGGTGAGATAGGGATAGCGGGGGGGGGCACCAGCAGTTGACGGGTGAGCCTTTTTCCTCCCTCAAAGGAGGGTCCTTGGGGACATGCCAGAATGGGGAATGGGGGTGCAGTTTTCCTCATGGTCTGCAGTTCCTTTTTTCCACCTCCCCCCAGCAAAGTGGCAGGCAGTTCCGTGGGTCAGTTGAGGAGGAGGAGGTGGCAGCAGCTTCACGGGGGCTCTCCTGAGGGTCGTGAGGGAGGGCAAATGGTGCAAGCCTATAATATATGTGGAAAGGAGAGAGGGAGGGAGGAAGGAATCCCCAACCTCTTTCCTGCTCCCTCTGGCCCCTTTGTCCAATCAGCTGGTGGCAATGCCCAATATGTGAGCGGCAGTTGGCTGCTTTGGAACTGAGGATGAAATTTGAAATCTCTTAACAGTGGGGGGTGTTGAGGGAAGGGTGAGGGAGCAACTTGGATGCCTGTCAGTGAGGTAGGGCTGGCTGGGGGACACTGATGGTCAACAGGTGAGCCCTCTTCCTCCCTCGAGGGAGGGGCCCCTTGGGGACACACCAGAATGGGGAGCAGGAGTGCAGTTTTCCTCATGGTCCGTGGCTCCCTTTGTTCCACCTCCCCCCAGCAAAGTGGCAGGCAATTCCGTGGGCCAGTTGAAGAGGAGGAGGAAGCTTCATGGGGCTTTCCTGAGGGTCATGAGGGGAGGGAAAATGGAGCAAGCCTATATTATAGGGAGGGAGGAAGGAAGTTAGTTTTCTGATGCTCCCTGCCAGCTTCCCACAAACAAAGTCAGTGGGGAAGCCAGCAGCAAGTCGCTCACACTCCCACTGCTTTTTTGCCCTTAGCCATTCTCTTTCTCTCTTTAGGTAAGGACATATCTCTGAAACAATGACCCAACGAGTCATGGGTGAAGGGGAGGTTACTTTTGAATTCAGGTGTCAAAATACCTTGGGCATTCTATGAGCAGGGCCCAAGCATTTTTTTTAAAGAGGCAGGGGGTGGGCAGATACAAGCCTGCAGCTTCAGCTTCCTTTCAGATAGTGTAAATTTAAACCATTGAATACTGCTTTGTGATTTGTATTTGTATTTCTAGACAGGCATGAACAGGATAGTTTATTTCTTTTGCTAGACATGCATATGGAATTTATCTTTGGGGGCTGCCCGTCCTGCCAGCAGGTCTGGGTCCTATTATCCCTGAGTTGGGATCAGTTGTTTCCCTCAAAGGATGGGATGGCAACTGGAAGCTGTGGCGTCCCTTCACAATCTTCAGGCCCCCTAAACCTTCCCCCAATGCTTAGTCTCATGACAGAGTATGAGTTCAAATGCTTTCAAGGAGAAACAGTGCCCACAGACTGTGTACTGTATTTTTCCATTCTTCTGAAAAAATGTTTTTTCTATTTTTCTCCCAAAGACTATATTTTATGATTCCTTGTTTATTTAAAGAAAAAAAAGAAGTACCTGACATGGAAGCCCTGCGAAGCAACTGAAATGATCAAGGCCAAGCATCTGTTTCTCTCCGTAGCTCTAGTCCCTCCTGGCCAAGTGACCCGATGCATTAATTAGCAAGAAGATGCTCTCATTCCCATTCTGTAGACGTGCACATTTGGCAGAACAACGCAAATATCTTGGTAGTTCCCCCACTATGGTGTGGATGCCAATTTGTGACATTTATCAAACTCTGACACATTTGGCTACTGTTGGGTTGGAAAGCTCAGCAATTGTAGAAACATAACACCATGGCAACAGTTGTCATAAATATAGAATTAATAGTTCCATAGGGCTCTAATCCTGTACCTTTTCTCAAGGGATTCAATGGGGCTTACTTTTGAGTTAACATGAGCATTGTTGGACCATGAAACGTTCTCTCATTGAGTTAGCAAATACACTCAGAGCATGGAAAGAGAACAGCAGTAAGACCAAATCCAGTATGCCTTCTCAGTCTTACAAGGGGGAAGCGTTCATTTTGGCCAGGTCAAGTGAAGCGTTTGACTAGTCCTCTGCAAAAATACTGGGTAGCTTTTGGTCAGTCATTTGAGGGGTGTTCAGATCCCACTCTTTCAGGATGGTTGCACAACAGATAGGTTTGCCTGGAAACGCTCTTTGGCCTCTTTGAGTTCCCTCAAGCAAGTTCCCAGGTAGGAGATTAAAGGTTGGCAACCCAAATCGCTTAAGCAGCCACCTTGAGCCTACAAATTGCAGTAAAGCCCTTTGAGTTTGGTGACACTTATTGAGTTAACAAGCTTGGGAATGCACTATTAGAAATCTTTATAAAGCATTGTGTGTCAGCTGAAGTGAATGTAAAGGATCTGAGCTGTTACAGCTTATAGGAGTGAGTAAGGGCTCCTTAAAAAAAATAGTTTTCCCTCAATGATAAATAGGGAAGCAAAAGAATGCTGGTGCCAAAGTTGACTCTGTTTAAATTAGAAATTTGTCACATTTAATTAATTGTGTTCTGGAAGCTGTTCTTGTTTGTTTGGTATGAGATCTGAGGAAAGATAATTGGTTTTGGTTTTTCAACTAGCATTAAATCTGTGGTTAAAGAGAGTTGTGCAGCATTTTGGTCTACACAGGGAATAAGGACTGTTCCTCTCTTTAGTAACTTTCATTACTGGTGTTGCATTAGATGGTCTGATATTTTAAAGAAATTACAGTGGCAATTTGAGTATTTCCCTTACATATTCACACTACATCTTGTATTTGTGTTGTCACATGGCAGCATGCTGTAAACAGGCTAAGCTAATAGATAAAGCTCCTAAATACTTTGTCCACTGATCACTTAGGTTTAGTTCTAGTAACACTTTAATTTTTTAACTATTTTTATTCCATCACAGTTTTACTGTAATAGGGTGAAAATAGACAGGAAATTATATTTGACTGCTTTTTGTTAGCTGGTTAAATTGTAAATTGTCTCAAAATCCAATATTTCAAAGGACAGCCCATTGTAATAGTAAAGGTTTTTGTAATTTGCAAATTACAGATGCCTCCTTGGTTACCCCAGTTTCAGTGTTTATCAGTCTGTTTACAGGCACAAGTCAAAGCCCTGATTGTGATTTTAAAGCCATATGTGACTTGGAGCAAATCAACTTGAAACACTGCTTTTTCAACTCATGAATTTATCCAGGTGTTAAGATCTTTTGGAAAAACTGTTTTTTTTCCCTCTGCTGCCTCCTCTAAAGTCACACTTAGTGGGAAAATGAAGAAAGGCCTTTGAATGGTTTCTCCCGAGCCCTGAAAGTGCCTCTCCAAGACAGATTGGTCTATTTCTCTCTCTGTTATAGATGTTTCTATTAATTTAAGTGTTTATTGGACTGTTGAAGAGTGTTTTAACCAGGATATTCTCCTTTTTGTTGATTTTTAATACTCTTTTAATTAATTTGTATAACTACATTATTATTAGCCACTGAGTACAATTTTCAGAAGGAAAGTATGGTGAAAATTTTATAAATAATTATATCTAAATTTGTTATTTATTCTATATATGCTAGATTACTAGGTCTAAACATTAAAGCCTGCGGCTAAGGGCAGGGTGCCTATGAAAATTTGATGGCGGGGATTGACAGGGTCTTTCCTTTGTTCATTAGCTTCCAAGGGTCACCTCTTACTAATCACCAAAATGCTGGACTAAATGGACCTTTTGATTGACAGAAAAGGATCTTCCTATTTCCTTTGGGATAAATTTCCTGCTCTCACTGTAGGGCATGCAGTTTTGTTCCTTTTTCTTGCTCTCTTTATATATATTTCAAATTTGGTCACCACCCATCTCACTAGGGAGCAGCTTTGGGTGGTTTATAGTAAAAACAAGAATAAATATTAATTAAAATACAATTAAAATACAATAACCATATTCATACATAAATAATATCTTCCAAGATACTGCTGGTATATATTAACCTACAGGAACATCTTCAAGGTACTAGCCACCCCCAGGGTCGATTGCCCCTCTTCACGCCCCACACGAGTTGGGAGAGCCAGGTCTTTACCCCATTCTGGAAAGTCAAGAGTTCCATAGGGCAAGGGCAACAGCAGAGAAGGCTCTCCTCCTGGGCCCTGCCAGTTGACATTCTTTCATCGATGGGGTCCATAGCATACCCTCTCTGCTTGACCAGGTGGGACAGGTCAATATAATGGGGGTGAGACAGTCCCTCAGGTAGCCCAGTCCCATGCCATGTAGGGCTTTAAAGGTGATAACCAATACTTGAATTGGACCTGGAAGCAAACTGGCACCCAATGCAGCTCCTGCAGCAAAGGTGTAACATGTGCCATCTTTGGGGCACCCAAGATTGTCCACGCAGCTGCATTTTGAACCAGCTGTAGCTTCCGGGTACTCTTCAAGGGTAGCCCCATGTAGAGCACATTGCAATTGTCTATATGGGAGATGACTAGGGCATGAGTGACTGACCAGACTGATACACAGGAGCCCCCAACCATCTTACCAGGGTTCAGCTGAAGCCTGTTGTTCCCCATCCAGGCCCCCACAGCCTCCAG